GCAGGAAGAGAAATATACTCACATCGCCCAAAGATGGACGGGAAGACACCCTGATCGAATACTCACCTCGTCTAAAGATAGACAGAAAGACAACATTAATCTCCCAATTCACGTCGTCTAAGGATAGACGGCATTATCCTGATTGATAAAGCAAATCAATATTCACATCGTCTAAGGGTAGACGGGATCATCCTAATTGATGAACAAATCACTATTCACATCGTCTAAGGGTAGACGGCAAGCAATAATCTCCGAATTCACATCGTCTAAGGATAGACGGGATCAAATTCTTAATCTCCATACACACATCGTCTAAGGATAGACGGGAAGAAATAATCTCCGAACTTGCATCGTCTAATGATAGACGGAAAGACACCATAATCTCCATACTCACATCGTCTAATGATAGACGACATCATCCTGATCGATGAATCAATCAATATTCTCATCGTCTAAGGGTAGACGGGATCGTCCTGATTAATGACAAATCAATTCACATCGTCTAAGGGTAGACGGCATCAAATTCTTAATCTCCATACACACATCGTCTAAGGATAGACGGAATCATCCTGATCGATGAACAAATCAATATTCACATCGTCTAAGAGTAGACGGGATCATCCTGATTGATGAAACAAATCAATATTCACATCGTCTAAGAGTAGACGGGATCATCCTGATTGATGAAACAAATCAATATTCACATCGTCTAAGAGTAGACGGGAAGAAATAATCTCCGATATTCACATCGTCTACTGGTAGACGGCAAGACACCATAACGCAATTCAACATCATCCCTTGAATTTCAGAATCCTTCTGTCTACGGGAATTGATGGAAAGATCAACATCTTTGAAGGGGCCACATCGTCAGTATGGACTGGCGGGAAGAAAACCACCTTTAAAGAACCATGTCGTCAATAAGAATCGACAATCACGAAAACTGAACATTCTTCGAAGAGCCTCGACATCAATAAGGATTGACAGTCAGGAAAGTACCCCTTGAAACGTCATCATATCCAATAACCAGAAAGAGAACCAATATCCAAAATCATTTTGAAACCCCTCAACAACCAAGGATAGCCGGAGAAGACTCGCTGGGGAAACACCTCATCATATGTATGATCTGGCAGTAAGAAACCCGTTGGACAGTAACCAAAACTTCACATCGTCTACTGATAGACGGAAAGAAAAGCCACTTGCTGGAGAAATCCTATTTGGAACCTTATTGAAAATCCATCAAAACTTCACATCGTCTACTGATAGACGGGAAGAAAAAGCACATCCTGGGGAAACCCCTTCTTGAAGCGCTACTGTGATCACCCGCAACTTCACATCGTCTATGGATAGACGGAAAGAAAGCCACATTCGCACTCCAGACGTCTAATGATAGACGGAGAAATCCATTTATTGGAGGAACACATCGTCAATATGGATTGACGGGAAGAAAAGTCTGCCAATACCAGTTGACTGACTGATCAAAGCACAATCGTTGTATGATCTGAGATACAAATAATCTGCTGAACTGTCTGAATACTGTTGCTGGATAAATGCCCCTGAACTGATCACAGAGTAATTCACGCGCCATATAAGGCTGATAGAAAATCTGACTTATGCTTCGTATGCTTATGCTTATGCTTTAATCCTTTCACGGCGTAATGCTCCATTCTAGATGGAAATGCTACGCATTTTGACGATGATATGCAAGTATGATGCAAATATGATGATGCATGCAATATGCTAGTGCAGGCTCGAACTGCAGGAGAAGGCCGGGTACAGAAACACTTCAGCAAAATAAATGCTGAAGGCGAGGCCAACTCTGCTGGGGATAACCCGGATATCACTGAATCGTCCTAGCAAAATAAATGCTGGGAGAGTGAAATCAACTCTGCTGGGGATATTGGGAACTTAACCGAACACCTCGACGAAGTAATACCCTGCTGGGGAATATAACTCCGTTGTGAAATAGCAGACGTGCTGAATATGATTAGACTCCTCTAGGGATAGCTCACCCGTACCAACGGTGAATTGGACTTTGCTGGAGAAAATGGAGGGAGCCCTCCTGCGTACTGACGAAGCTCGGATCTGGAAATTGATGCGTCAACACGGATGGGCTTCACAGTAATCGCAAACATGGGTTTGAGCTCTTACTGGGTCAAGTACAACTGACGCTGGAAAATATCCTTCATGAATACACAGCCTTTTAATGAAGGGTCAAGGGATAGTAACATGACTTCCCATATTCATCTCGCTCTCGAAAATCGACTGCATCTGCTCGAATAACTCTGTATGGCCCTGCTGGTACGGAGAAGACCAATCCTTTCTCTTCTGATATGCCCCAGCCTACGGGACCTCTGTGGGGATAGCCCTTGAAAGGAAACCTGCAAATCTGTTCCTTGATGGTCTGCTATAACATGCCTCAGCGTTCTGAACTTCTGAGAGATACTTCACCTCACCTGCTTCTCGCACAACCTTTGCGTGCTTAAGATGGTCTGCCCCTGACTGCAATGACCTTGCCCCGATTATCTGATTCAGAGTAGTACCTCCTGACTACAACGTATTCACCGAACCTCAACCTGATTGCCCCAAAATAACTGACTTCGAAAAGCTGACTTGACTGGGGATCATAATAAAGCCTGCCCCTGCTCTCGAAACATTCGGGCGTTCTGCATTCTATCTTGACCATACTTTCCACTGTAGTCTGCTGACAAGCGCTTACTTGCAAGTAAAACAAGTTGTTCTGTATAAAAGATGTATTAATGCAACACATATGACAGCTTTGACATCCAATCTGTTCACTGGGAAAAGGAAAAACAGTTTATGGCATATAATGCACAAAACATTTATCAACATCAGTACCAACATGGTAAGAGGAACCTTTTTAAGAGTCAGAATCGACGCGACCTTTACCGGAGTATGCTTTCGAAACAACCTGCTTCAATTAGGACTTTTGAAGGTTGTAATGTGGTCAGGTTCATGGTTTTGAAAGAAAGGGTAAAGGCTCAAAGTTTATTTTAACCCACCCATTCTCCTTGATGTTCTCCCATCCTACGTTCAGCTAATTTGACCTTAGCGCTCACCTCTTAGAGGGTGAAAGATAGGAATGATAGTTCGAGAAATCATGATCGTTGGGAGTGACAGCCACTCACCCTTCGTCTTTGACACTTGAGGTCACACGACTCGCATTTCCTTTGAGGATTTTTCTTTTGATCCTTTTCATCCTTTCCTTTTCATATCCCTAACTTTTGCCTGGACTGACTCCTTTTGAGTTTCTTTTGTTTTTTAAGTCCAGCGGGATGCCCTCATTTTTGCCTAAGTCATTTGTTTTGAAGTTTTCTTGACTTAGCGGGCTTTTGACTCTTCTTTTTTCGTTTTTTCTTCCGAACAAGTCGTGTGACACTGGTTGCCTGGCTCCTTGGGAATGATGTGGCTATCCCACTCTTGATTGAACCATTGTGGTCTTTTAGGTACGACCTCTAGGGACGTGATTGACCCTCGAACGGACACTCCCTTTTGCAATTTGGACGCTCAGTCGAATTAGCTAACACCTACCCTGCCCCAGGTTAAGATTGAGGGTTTTTCGTTTTCAGAAAGAACTCCTACCACCAGGCTCAAAGGGGTTGACAAGGGATTATCTTCCTTATATCTCCGGTGTTTAGGGATTTGAAACAATGCCTGTACATCATCAGCAGGTTTTATTTCAAAAGCATACAATCGGAATGTGCATGTCGGTCATTTTCGTCATCCTCCCCAAATTCTTCTTAACCAAGCGTTGGACATTTGCAAAAAACAGTTAGTGAACACGAATGGATTCAATCAAAACATGCATATTTATTTCATTATCATCAATTTGAATGAAAACAACAAGTTTTACAAACAAGATCACAAATTCAAACAGGAAAGCAACTACAAATGTAAAGAAATGACAAGCTAAAACAAAGAAAATATGCTAGCTTCTGAGAACCGGGCTTTTGCATCTGCCCTGCTGCTGAACCAGCTATCTTTATTAGAGGCAATTCGATGCTGTCCTGATCTGCTTTCAACGACTTAACCCAATTATAGAGCCCTTCCTCCTTCATTCAGATGATTTGGGGACCTCTTGGCCCGAAGCTGATTGCTGCACTATCAAGCAGATCCTGCACTTTGTGCTTAAAAGCATGGCAACCTTCTATATCGTGACCCGGGGCTCCAGAATGAAACTCACAGTGCTTGCTTGCATCATAACCAAACGGGGGAGTTCCCGTTATCGGCGCCAGAGTTCTTTTCTCTACCAGGTTCAATCCCAACAATGTCTGCAACAAATCGGCATATGTTGAGGGAGGCTTCTCAAACACTCTTCTCGGTTTACTACCCTGGAATCTTCGCTGAGCTTGCTGTGCCCCTGCGGTGGCTGCTGCTGCTGGTACCGGGTTGACCCTTGAACACCCTTCGCAG